ACCTCACTGATGATACAACATATATATATATATATATATATATATATATATATATATATATCCCCATCCTAGTGTTTTCTCTAGATAGATTGATTACATTAATAAACCTGAATGGGTTACAGTTAACTCTGGAATACAACTACAAGGTTACTGGGTTAATGAGCATCTGCTGGTATCAAGTGACACAAGGAGAGAGAGAGAGAGAGAGAGAAAGAGAGTTGATCCTGGTAATAGGATCCTATGAAAGAAAAACAACCCACCAATCACGTGCAGTTAAAATATTTACATTACAGCAATTATTCTTTAAAGAGAATCTTTATGCGAAGGGAACTATGGAGCTGATATTTCTTTAAAAAGAAACTACCATAAACAAAAGCAAAAACAAAAAAACTTGTTAATTCTTGCTGCAGTCCTTACTACATACAGTTTTGGGTGGGCAGTATAGACAAGCAATGTACAGTGGTATCTCGGGTTCCATACGCTTCAGGTTACATACGCTTCAGGTTACAGACTCCGCTAACCCAGAAATAGTGCTTCAGGTTAAGAACGTTGCTTCAGGATGAGAACAGAAATTGTGCTCTGGTGGCGCGGCGGCAGCAGGAGGCCTCATTAACTAAATTGGTGCTTCAGGTTAAGAACAGTTTCAGGTTAAGAACGGACCTCCGGAATGAATTAAGTACTTAACCCGAGGTACCACTGTACTAGTGATGATTAGAATTCAGGTGATTTCCATGTTTTAATGAAATATTGATTGTAAATGGAATGTACACTACTTACAGAGGGGACTTCATGGTAGGTTCATTGACTTCCCACAGAGGTTTGTGGGTCGGTGGCAGTGGCAAGGAAGTGGGCATTCTATGTGGCAGCCCCCAAGTTGTGGGATTCCCTCCCCACAGAGGCATGTCTGGCACCTTCACTGAGCAGCATTTTCATGAATGCTAACAATGTACCTCTTTGCTACCTGAGCTGTGTGTGGTTCAGGACTCACCCTATTCCTGTGAATCTATTTTAACTGTTATTAAAAGTGATTTTTAAATTCTTGCAACCCACCCTGGCTCCCACTGGTGAAAGGTCGGTAATAAATTTAACACCAACACCAACAACAGTATAAAATAATTTTTTAAAATATTAAGCAGTACATAAGTGCTTTTAAACAAACAAAAATGTTAGAGCCGACCCAGAACATTTGGCCACCTGAAGTGAGTGGCAAGATAGCCTCTGCCACATTCTACATTCAGGACAGCAAACCTGAGGGCATCAGGTCACCCTACAGAATGCAGGGCAGGTGGTACAGTGCACACACACAACAGCAGCAGCAACAACAACAACAACAGCAACCACCACCACCTCACTGCTTGTTCCTCAGCAAAAGCTGCCAGAGGTTAGCTCCCTCACTCTGCCTCAGTTTTCATTTATATAAATATTAGTATACCACGGACTCATATGAAATATCAAGGCAGCGCACAGCAACACACAGACACAGACACACACAGACACCCTTACCATAAAAACAATACAAAATAATAATTGAAATGACTGGCTAACAGGGCTGACCCACCCATGAGATATATATCAGGATCAAAGCTGTCAACTTTTCCCTCTTCTTGCGAGGAATCCTATTTGGAATAAGGGAATTTCCCTTAAAAAAAAGGGAAATGTTGACAGCTATGATCAGGATCTGCTGCCTCTGTAGATCCTGACACCTGAGAAGATCACCCTACTTAGCCTCATGAGTGGGCTCTCTCTCTCTCTCTCTCTCTCTCTCTCTCTCACACACACACACACACACACACACACACACACACCTCCCACCCTGCAAGGATTAGGAAATGGTAAACTATCTGACACTTTGTGCTAACACACATTCCCAACGTCACACCTCTCTCTCTCTCTCTCTCTCTATATATATATATATAGTATATGTTTTGGGGACTAGAGTCCACAACCTCCCAGAAATATGTTTTCCCTCACTGTTTCCCTGAAATGAATATGCTTCAAGAAAACAAACAAACATGGAATGCCAGTTCCTGTTCTGTCTTAGATAGAGAGATATGGTAGTTTTGGATGGTGCGTAGGAATAACACTGCCCCAACTGCTCTGGGTGACTCTTTTAGCAAACTTTTACGGTGCATTTGGATGTTCTTACCACTCCATCTAATTCTCTACAGGTTCTTTCAAAAACATTATGTAATGCATATTTTACTTTTTATAGCTTTTCCCGAGGCTCTAAAGTTTCTGCTAATGCAGTTCTGAAAACACACTATTTATGCAACTGGACTATAATATCTTTATTTTTATGCAATTCCGAATGCAAAAGAGAGTGACATAATGGGCTCCTCCCTGTGTGCCTATTGAGACACTGGAGAGTTTCATTCGAAGCATTTTATTGTAAAGGCAATGCTTTTCCCATCAATTTTAAAGGGTTTGGGGCCATTCCCATAACATGCAGCTTTCTATGCTTGTCCTGGTTGCAGGAAGCACACAGAGATTCGCCCAGCAATAATGGAAAGGCAGAAAACACATGATGCATTATCTGAAGCTGAAGACTAACAAGGAAGTTTATTCATAGGCTTTATCCCAGGGATTGAAATATTTGTGTACATTGTCTCTTTGGATTTTCAGGATACAGAGAGGTAAGATTTGTTTGTCCATTGTGAATGTGGGTTCAGGCTGCAGGGCACCTTAGTAAAAATGAATGTGTGTGTGTGTGTGTGTGTGTGTGTGTGTGTATCACTATATATGCATATATTTTATACACACACACACACACATATATATATATGCATACACACACACACACACATACACACACACACACACATATACATACACACAAACCAGATTAAGCTTAATTTTTAATCAAAGGCTGGCATATTTACAGGCTTTGTGTTGCAGTTTTGCACAAGTCTGTTCAATAAACTCTTCAAATGCAGCACATTAATTTTCAGTCACTGCTTGTGCATTTGGGAGTTCCATTATTATGAACTAATAATAAAAAATAAAGGTGGTATCAAACTAAGTGCTTCTGCTTGAGCAAAAATTTCCACTTGTGCAGTGGAACTTCTCCCCCCTCTTCTCTCTCTGCATGCTCCCTAAACCCTCCCAAATCTCTTGTCTATTACATTTAAGGTAAAGGAACCCCTGACCATTAGGTCCAGTTGTGGCTGACTCTGGGGTTGCAATGCTCATCTTGCTTTACTGGCTAAGGGAGCCAGCGTACAGCTTCTGGGTCATGTGGCCAGCATGACTAAGCCGCTTCTGGTGAACCAGAGCAGTGAACGGAAACTCCGTTTACCTTCCCACCGGAGCGGTACCTATTTATCCACTTGCACTTTTGACGTGCTTTTGAACTGCTAGGTTGGCAGGAGCAGGGACCGAGCAACGGGAGCTCACTCCGTCGTGGGGATTCGAACCACCAACCTTCTGATCGGCAAGTCCTAGGTTCTGTGGTTTAACCCACAGCGCCACCCGCATATATTACATTTATATCCCACCTTTTCTCCAAGGAGCTCAAGGCAACATACAGCAGGGAGAGTAGAGTGCACAAGTGGAGAAGCTTTTTCAGCCTGAGAATCACAGTTCCTTCTGAAGAACCTTCTGAGGGGCCCATGCCAGTGGTACTGCTACAACTACTACTACTTCTACTAATACCCCACCCATCTGGCTGGGTTGCCCAGCCACTCTGGGACTGTTCCCAACAGGCTATGAAAACATTAAACATTAAAAAAAACTTCCCTAATCAGGGCTGCCTTCAGATGTCTTCCAAAAGTCAGACAGTTGCTTATCTCCATGACATCTGATGGGAGGGCATTCCACGCAGCAGGCGCCACCACCGAGAAGGTCCTCCTGGTTCCCTGTAACCTCACTTCTCATAGGGAGGGAACCACCAGAAGGCCCTCGGAGCTGGACCTCAGTGTCCGGGCTAAACGATGGGGGTGGAGACGCTCCTTCAGGTATACTGAGCTGAGGCCGTTTAGGGCTTTCAAGTTCAGCACCAACACTTTGAATTGTGCCCCCTGTCCCCTTAAAACCCACCTGCCCCCTGTCCCCTTAAAACAGTACTTCCTTTGATAAGGCAATCTCCGCCCCTGCAGCTATGTACCATCAATAGCATCTTCAAAGAGCGAGCTCTGTTGCCATAGAGACAAACGGCTTGGTTTTCTTCTATATCACCCTGCTGAATGCCACCTCATCCCAGGATGGAAGGTTGGTGATGGAACTACAACTCCCATCAGCCCCAGCCAGTGCACACGGGGGACGGACGGACTGATGGGAGTTGTAGTCCGAAACGCCTGATGACGGCTGGGTTGAAATAATTTTCTGAAGGTCAGAGTAGCGGAACAGGCTCCTTTAGAAGGAAGTGGGCTCACCTTCACGGAGGCTGGGTTGCCAGGCGGGGAGGGTCATCTGATGGGAGCGCGTTCCACAGGGCGGGCGCCACCACTGAGAAGGCCCTGTGCCTGGTTCCCTGCAACCTCACTTCTCACAGGGAGGGAACCGCCAGAAGGCCAGGGAGGGAACCGCCAGTGTCCGGGCCAAACAATGGGGGTGGAGGCGCTCCTTTAGGTATACTGGGCTGAGGCTGTTTAGGGCTTTAAAGGTCAGCACCAACACTTTGTATTGTGCTCAGAAACATACTGGGTGCCAATGTAGGTCTTTCAGGAGTGGTGTTATGTGGTCTCGGCAGCCACTCCCAGTCACCAGTCCGGCTGCCGCATTCTGGATTAGTTGTAGTTTCCGGGTCACCTTCAAAGGTAGCCCCACGTAGAGCGCATTGCAGTAGTTCAAGTGAGAGATAACCAGAGCATGCACCACTCTGGCAAGACAGTCTGCGGGCAGGTAGGGTCTCATCCTGTGTACCAGATGGAGCTGCCCTGGACAGAGAATTGACCTGCGCCTTCATGGACAGCAGTGAGTCCAAAATGACTCCCAGGCTGCGCAGCTGGTCCTTTGGGGGCACAGTTGCCCCATTCAGGACCAGGGAGTCCCCCACACCCGCCTGTCCCCTTAAAACAGTACTTGCACTACTCTGGCGAGACAGTCAGCAGGCAGGGAGGGTCTCATCTTGCGTACCAGATGGCGCTGGCAGACAGCTGCCCCGGACACAGAACTGACGTGACGTTCTCTTGCCTCCCCCCCCCAGCCCTCTTTGTCAGCAACGTCCTGGTGGAGGCGGAAGCCGTGGCCCTCCCTCTGGCCCTGGACACCGCCGGCTCTCTGCTCCTCCAGGCCCTCCTCCCTTCCGCCTCTGCGCCCAGCCTGAGCCGCCTGCTGCGAGCCTTCCTTCCCGCTCTGCGCCTGGCCGCCTGCCACCCCTGCGGGGCTCACATCCTGGAGGCCGCCCTGCTCAGAGCTCCGGTCCTGATTTCGGAGGGAGCGGAGGATGCTGAGGAGCTGGAAGACCAAGTCCTGGAGCTGGCAAGGGCCGTGCAGGAGGAGCTGCCCACCTTTGCCCTGGACACCCACGCCAGCTTCATGGTGCGGACGCTGCTGCAGGTGCTCGGAGGGGTCCGGGTCAGGTCGGACGGGGGACGGGGACTCCCGGTGTCAGGTGAGTGCGGCTCGCTTTTATTTTATTTTATTTATCTGTTAATTTTATATCCCACCCTTCACCCGAAGATCGCGGGGCGGTTTGCAGCATAAAAACTTAAGATACGTAACGTAATAACAAAACGAAACAAACCCGCCGAAAAACCAATGCCATTTTTAAAATTTTGTTTTATAATGTATATAAAACAGATAGAGAAATTAAAGCAACAGGTGGAAATGAAATGAAAACTTTTTTTTTAAACCCCCCACTCTTTTGACACATTTTTGTTTCAGCAAGCCCACCCAGTTGAAGCGAGTTTTTGTCTCTCTTCAGTCTGTTGTTATTTTATCTTTTCAAAAGGATTACCGTATTTTTCGCTCTATAAGACTCACCAGACCACAAGACGCACCTAGTTTTTGGAGGAGGAAAACAAGAAAAAAAATATTCTGAATCTCAGAAGCCAGAAGAGCAAGAGGGATCGCTGCGCAGTGAAAGCAGCGATCCCTCTTGCTGTTCTGGCTTCTGTGATAGCTGCGCAGCCTGCATTCGCTCCATAAGACGCACACACATTTCCCCTTACTTTTTAGGAGGGAAAAAGTGAGTCTTATAGAGCAAAAAATACGGTAAATTGTTGTTTTAAATTTCATCATTTTATCTTTTTTAAGACAACTGTGAAGTTTGTTATTGTTGGTTGTTTTTTTTCAATCAAGCGGTGTATAAATTGTATGCGATAAATAAAAATAAATAAAACTAGCATAGGCGTGTAGAATAAGTACAGCTACATATGGGGTTACTAGCAAATCATTAAGTTATGAAAAGGGTGAGACTTAAAGAAATAATATTAATATTATTTCATTGTCAAGCGTGGTTCAAAGTCTGCCGGGCTTGTGACGATGGTTGACTTAAAAATGATGGTTCCGATATATTGGTTATGCCAAATCATGTAAAATTATGTGTAATTTTCACCATTATAGCTATATCCCAGAGTGAGTGGTGCCAAACAAGCGGTGTAAGATTTTTGGGCTTCTTTCCACTGAGTTGCAATAATTATTTGAGCTGCCAAGATTGTGCGTAAGGCCAGTTCTTTTGACAACGTATCTACATTTGTATCATCGAAAATATTCATTCATTCATTAGCATTTGATTTTGGACAGCAAACAGTCTTTTTTTGGGGGCGTGCTTCATTTCTGTCAACATTAAATTCCGGAAAAAGTGCATTTCCACCATAAATGACGAAATGTGCTCAGTTTATCACAATCCTTCCAACAATGATATAGGGAGAACATTTGCAACATTTGGAAAGGAGTGCTGAGAGGGTGTTTTAATGTCAACTATCTTCCTTCCTTTGCCAGTTTTTTCTCTCTCTCTCATGAACATTTCTCTCTTTCTCTCTCCTCCCTCCAGGGTCTTCTTTCTCCAGAGCCAAAAAGGCTAAACTGGAGAGCGATGGGCCTTCGGAATTTGAGGTCCCAGAAACCTTCCAGTCCCTCCTGGGCGAATTCAAAGGGAGCTTTCAGGAGCACATTCCAAGTGAGGCTGCGCCACCTGCTGCGAATGCGAATCCAGCTCAACCTGGGGACTCCTGGAGGGAGGAGGGGCTGTTGGATCTGACGGACACTTCCATCAGCTTTAGGAAACGGGGGGGGGGGTGGGGGGGAGTTACAGTGGACTGTACCACTTCCATGCTGTGGATGGGGTCTGTGTGCAATTCTCTCTTTTTCAAAAAAATAGTTTTTTATTATAGATTTTCATGTGTTTCAAAACAAACAAATAAGCGAAGTAAAGTACAATTGGGGCAAAGGAGAGGGGAGAGAGCGATGAGGGGCTGTTGTTCTTCATTTCTGTTGCCTGTCGTCTAGAACCTGATCGTCAAGTTGGAAGGGACCCCTGAGGGTTATCCAGTCAAACCCCCTGCAATGCAATGCAGGAATCTTGGCTAGATCATACATGACAAGCAGCCACAAAACCCACAAGGGAAGAGAGCCTGTGCCTGGTTTCCGATTGCAGGATTGAAAATGCAAAGGGGCGTTCCAAAATGTGATTTTTTCCCCCGCCTCCCCTTCCCCAACTTGCTTTGTGAAGTCATTTTAAGTCTGTTCCACTGCTGTGGGCCTCTTTTTGCCTTATTATGGTCTGCATGCATAGATCAGAGTGCAAAACCTGGTCTTAAAAGACGAGAGACCCCAGATTGCGTTTGCAAAAATGAACAGACGTGTTTGAGGGAGCTGAAGAACGTTGGCGTGAGATGGGCTGTGTTCTTATACAGTGTGGCTTTGCTTTTTGCTCTGTTGGGGCATCTATCTAGTTGCATTGCAATTATTACTATTATCATCTAGTACTTTTCATCCTGCTCTTCTTACTCATTGTAACAAGGCACACGGATGTCAGGTGTGGGTGACGGGTGGCGCCCCCACCTGCAGTATCCCCTTGCTAAAGTTTAGCAGCTAAACGTCTCCCTTCGAAATCTTTCTTCCCCTCCCCAGGTTTCATCACCAACAAGTATTTCAGCCTCTGCCTCCAGTGGCGCTGGAGGTCTTGCACCGGAAGCTGCCAGCGGACTGCTCAGAGCTTGTGCCACTCAATGATTGGCTACTTGAGCTCCCGCAATGTGTCTCCTGGGCAGAGGTAAGCGCTCCGATTGGCCGTGGGCAGTGGGGGCGGTGATGGTGGGAGGAGACTTGGAAGCTGCTGCTGCTGCTGCTTGTTCCTTTTTAAAGAGATTTCTATTAGATTTCATAACTTTAACCAATGGATTTCAAATCTGTTATACATTTCTCTTATAATTTGACTTCCTACCTTGCCGTCCATGCTGTTTTTATACCCATCCCTTTGGTATGCCTCATAATATTCTGCATTTCATCTAATATACGTTCCTCTAGTTCATAAATCTTCCCGTTGCTCAAATTTCAAATCCTGCTGTGATTTCATTTGGAAGCTGCTGCTGCTGTTCTGGGTGGATTTAGAACACAGGATAATAGAATTACAGTGGTGCCTCGCAAGACGAAATTAATTCATTCCGCGAGTTTTGTCGTCTTGCGATTTTTTTCGTCTTGCGAAGCACGGTGTCGGGAAAGTTTTGGAAAAGCTTCAAAAATCACCAAAGTCTTCAAAAACCTCAAAAAAAGGCTACCACACCGCGTGCTATGAGTTGCTCCTCGAAGTCAAGTCGCAACTGTATTAACGGTTTTAAGAAAAAGGAAACAAACTTGCAAGACGTTTCCGTCTTGCGAAGCATAGCCCATAAGAAATTTCGTCTGCAAAGCAGACTCAAAAAGACCAAAAAACGCCTTTCGTCTTTGCGAGTTTTCCGATCTTGCGAGGCATTCGTCTTGCGAGGTACCACTGTAAACGATTAATTTCAATTATTTATACCGGCCTGCCCATCTGGGCTGGGTTTTGGAGTGTGTGGAGGCTGTCCTGCCTTCTAGCAAAGCAAACCTGCAGGGACTCCATTTAGAAAAGAAGTAACTTATAGCGGGATGTTGATGAATTTGTCCAGATTGGCAGACTACGAAGACTTAGCTGACCCAACTCAGCTCACCTCCTGTTTTTCGCTGTTGGTTTCTGGGCAGCGTGGTGTAGTGGTTAGAGGGCCTTGCCCTCTATATCTCCCAAAACTGGTTTGAAGTCTGCATTGGATAAACGGTTTCATGATATTGGACCTTGGCGATATTCGCCAGCCAGATGTGTTGCGCTTTGCAAAAATCGCGATGCGGCGAAAGCCAGCCAACGCTTCTCTCTATTCCTACAGCCCCTGCTAACTCTTATGGCTCTCCTTCTCCCCTGGCTCCTGCAGGGGACAGCGAACCACAGAGGAGCAGGCGTCGACGAAAGCAGCTGCCGAGAACTGCCCTCGGACGCCATGCGGTTCTTGCTTTAAGTACAGTGGTACCTTGGTTCTCAAACTTAATCCGTTGAGGAAGTCCGTTCCAAAACCGAAGTGTTCCAAAACCAAGGTGCGCTTTCCCATAGAAAGTAATGCGAAACGGATTAATCCGTTCCAGACTTTTTAAAAAACAACCCCCAAAACAGCCATTTAACATGAATTTTACAATCTAACGAAACCATTGTTCCATAAAATTAAAGCGCTAAACAATGTACTGCAGTCACACAATCAGTCAGCAGCTGAACTGGGTTCCACACAGTCACACGGAAAAGAGAGCCACGAAAACGCAAAAGAAATAGCAAAAACAGACAGACCTCAGCGTAACACTCAAAACGGAAGTGTGGCACTCAAAGCGGAAGCGTAACACTCAAAACGGAGCAGGTTCGGCTTCCGAAAAAAGTTCGCAAACTGGAACACTTCTGGGTTTGCCGTGTTTGGGTGACAAGTTGTTTGAGAACCAAGGCGTTTGAGAACCAAGGGACACTGTATAGGATAGGCGCCAATCTGGTTGGTGGTTGAGGGAAATGCCAGTTGATTGGGCTCCAGGCTTCTTGCTGGGGTTCTGTTCCCCCTTCCTTTCTCCGTGAAAAAAATGAATGGGGGTTATCTGCTTCTGAGTTAAACAAAAACCCATGCCCTGTTGTTTAAGCCTCTTTCCTCCCTTCTTCCCTCTTGTATATGTGTGCCTTTGTCTCCCTGTGCCAAAGCTTTCCCCTTCTGCATTTGTTTTTGTGCGCATTTGTCTATGTGTTGGTGCCTCTTCCTTGTCTCTCTCCTTTGTGAGCATATGTGGAATTGCCTGTCTCCCTCCCCATTTTCTCCTCCTTACCCTTCCTCTCTCCCCAATTTCCCCTTCACCCGGTGCCGGATTTACGTATAAGCTAAACAAGCTATAGCTTAGGGCCCCACTCTCTTGGGGGCCCCCAAAAAAATTTAAAGGAAAAAACCAACGATGTACATTTCCAAAATATAAGATATAAAACAAAACCTACATACAGCAACAGTGTTTTATGTTATGAAGGCTCCTCTGATGTAAGCCAGCATAGGCAAACTTGGCCCTGCAGATGTTTTGGGACTACAACTCCCATCATCCCTAGCTCACAGGACCAGTGGTCAGGGATGATGGGAGTTGTAGTCCCAAAACATCTGGAGGGCCGAGTTTGCCTATGCCTGATGTAAGTCATGGGCCCCGCCTGCTAGCCCGCTCCCTAAAATATCACTGGTTTGCTCCTTTCTATATATAGGGTGTCTACATTCTGCAAATGGCTTGAGATAGCTATTACTGTATTTTTCGCCCCATAGGGCGCACCTAGTTTTTTGGGGGGGAAATAAAGGGAAAAAATTTTATTCCCCCCCCCCCCAGGCGCGGTGCTGGGGCGGGGGAAGCCCGAGCTTCCCCAGCCCCCAGAACAGGCAGCTCTCCGCAAGCCGTGGGAGCCCCGCGCGAAGTCACGCCGGGCTCCCAAGGCTTGCGGAGAGATGCACGAAGCTCGAAGCCTGGGGCGCGCTGAGCTCAGCTCGCCCCAGGCTTTGGGATGCAGAGGAAGACCTTTCTGTTCCTCCTCCAGCTTCGCAGCACAAGCACGTGGCTGAAGGAGGACAGGCGGGCGCAGTTCTCCCACCTCCTGCAGAAGCCGTGCGCTCTTTAAAAGGGCTGCGCGGCTTCTACTGGCTTTTCTACGAGGTGGGGGAATTCCCCCACCTCCCGCAGAAGCCCCGTGCTCTTTAAAGGGTGCGTGGCTCCTGTGGGCTTTTCTACGAGGTGGGAGAAGGGACTGATGCGGCCAGCCACGGAGCTTGTGTGCGGCTCTTGGGGGCTTTCCCTGCCTGCCTCCCCCCTGCATTCGCCCCATAGGATGCACACACATTTCCCCTTCATTTTTGGAGGGGAAAAAGTGCGTCCTATAGGGCGA